AACTTAGGCTCTGTTTCTTAGGCGTGGATTTTTTAAGGAAATTTTCTAACTTAGGCTCTGTTCTTAGGCGTGGATTTTTTAAGGAAATTTTCTAACTTAGGCTCTGTTTCTTAGGCGTGGATTTTTAAAGAAAATTTTCTAACCTAGGCTCTGTTTCTAGGGCGTGGATTTTTCAAAGAAAGTTTCTAACCTAGGCTCTGTTTCTTAGGCGTGGATTTTTTAAGGAAATTTTCTAACCTAGGCTCTGTTTCTAGGGCGTGGATTTTTCAAAGAAAGTTTCTAACCTAGGCTCTGTTTCTTAGGCGTGGATTTTTTAAGGAAATTTTCTAACTTAGGCTCTGTTTCTTAGGCATGGATTTTTTAAGGAAAGTTTCTAACTTAGGCTCTGTTTCTTAGGCGTGGATTTTTTAAGGAAATTTTCTAACTTAGGCTCTGTTTCTTAGGCGTGGATTTTTTAAGGAAATTTTCTAACTTAGGCTCTGTTTCTTAGGCGTGGATTTTTTAAGGAAATTTTCTAACTTAGGCTCTGTTTCTTAGGCGTGGATTTTTTAAGGAAATTTTCTAACATAGGCTCTATTTCTTAGGCGTGGATTTTTTAAGGAAATTTTCTAACTTAGGCTCTGTTTCTTAGGCGTGGATTTTTTAAGGAAATTTTCTAACTTAGGCTCTATTTCTTAGGCGTGGATTTTTTAAGGAAATTTTCTAACTTAGGCTCTGTTTCTTAGGCGTGGATTTTTTAAGGAAATTTTCTAACTTAGGCTCTGTTTCTTAGGCGTGGATTTTTTAAGGAAATTTTCTAACTTAGGCTCTGTTTCTTAGGCGTGAAATTTTTAGGGACATTTTCTAACCTAGGCTCTGTTTCTAAGGCGTGGATTTTTAAGGACATTTTCTAACCTAGGCTCTGTTTCTTAGGCGTGGATTTTTTAAGGAAATTTTCTAACTTAGGCTCTGTTTCTTAGGCGTGGATTTTTTAAGGAAATTTTCTAACCTAGGCTCTGTTTCTTAGGCGTGGATTTTTTAAGGAAATTTTCTAATCTAGGCTCTGTTTCTAAGGCGTGGATTTTTTAAGGAAATTTTCTAACCTAGGCTCTGTTTCTTAGGCGTGGATTTTTTAAGGACATTTTCTAACCTAGGCTCTGTTTCTTAGGCGTGGATTTTTTAAGGAAATTTTCTAACCTGGGCTCTCCAAATTAGGCGTGGATTTTTTAAGGAAATTTTCTAACCTAGGCTCTGTTTCTTAGGCGTGGATTTTTTAAGGAAATTTTCTAACCTGGGCTCTCCAAATTAGGCGTGGATTTTTTAAGGAAATTTTCTAACCTAGGCTCTGTTTCTTAGGCGTGGATTTTTTAAGGAAATTTTCTAACCTGGGCTCTCCAAATTAGGCGTGGATTTTTTAAGGAAATTTTCTAACCTAGGCTCTAAACATTAGGCGTGGATTTTTTAAGGAAATTTTCTAACCTAGGCTCTGTTTCTTAGGCGTGGATTTTTTAAGGAAATTTTCTAACCTGGGCTCTCCAAATTAGGCGTGGATTTTTTAAGGAAAATTTTTAACCTAGCCTCTGTTTCTTAGGCGTGGATTTTTTAAGGAAATTTTCTAACCTAGCCTCTGTTTCTTAGGCGTGGATTTTTAAGGAAATTTTCTAACCTAGCCTCTGTTTCTTAGGCGTGGATTTTTAAGGAAATTTTCTAACCTAGCCTCTGTTTCTTAGGCGTGGATTTTTAAGGAAATTTTCTAACCTAGCCTCTGTTTCTTAGGCGTGGATTTTTAAGGAAATTTTCTAACCTAGCCTCTGTTTCTTAGGCGTGGATTTTTAAGGAAATTTTCTAACCTAGCCTCTGTTTCTTAGGCGTGGATTTTTTAAGGGAATTTTCTAACCTAGGCTCTATAAATTAGGCGTGGATTTTTAAAGAAAATTTTCTAACCTAGGCTCTATAAATTAGGCGTGGATTTTTAAAGGAAATTTTCTAACCTAGGCTCTATAAATTAGGCGTGGATTTTTAAAGGAAATTTTCTAACCTAGGCTCTATAAATTAGGCGTGGATTTTAAAGGAAATTTTCTAACCTAGGCTCTATAAATTAGGCGTGGATTTTTAAAGGAAATTTTCTAACCTAGGCTCTATAAATTAGGCGTGGATTTTTAAAGGAAATTTTCTAACCTAGGCTCTATAAATTAGGCGTGGATTTTTAAAGGAAATTTTCTAACCTAGGCTCTATAAATTAGGCGTGGATTTTTAAAGGAAATTTTCTAACCTAGGCTCTATAAATTAGGCGTGGATTTTTAAAGGAAATTTTCTAACCTAGGCTCTATAAATTAGGCGTGGATTTTTAAAGGAAATTTTCTAACCTAGGCTCTATAAATTAGGCGTGGATTTTTAAAGGAAATTTTCTAACCTAGGCTCTATAAATTAGGCGTGGATTTTTAAAGGAAATTTTCTAACCTAGGCTCTATAAATTAGGCGTGGATTTTTAAAGGAAATTTTCTAACCTAGGCTCTATAAATTAGGCGTGGATTTTTAAAGGAAATTTTCTAACCTAGGCTCTATAAATTAGGCGTGGATTTTTAAAGGAAATTTTCTAACCTAGGCTCTATAAATTAGGCGTGGATTTTTAAAGGAAATTTTCTAACCTAGGCTCTATAAATTAGGCGTGGATTTTTAAAGGAAATTTTCTAACCTAGGCTCTATAAATTAGGCGTGGATTTTTAAAGGAAATTTTCTAACCTAGGCTCTATAAATTAGGCGTGGATTTTTAAAGGAAATTTTCTACCTAGGCTCTATAAATTAGGCGTTGATTTTTAAAGGAAATTTTCTAACCTAGGCTCTAAACATTAGGCGTGGATTTTTTAAGGAAATTTTCTAACCTAGGCTCTAAACATTAGGCGTGGATTTTTTAAGGAAATTTTCTAACCTAGGCTCTAAACATTAGGCGTGGATTTTTTAAGGAAATTTTCTAACCTAGGCTCTAAACATTAGGCGTGGATTTTTTAAGGAAATTTTCTAACCTAGGCTCTAAACATTAGGCGTGGATTTTTTAAGGAAATTTTCTAACCTAGGCTCTAAACATTAGGCGTGGATTTTTTAAGGAAATTTTCTAACCTAGGCTCTAAACATTAGGCGTGGATTTTTTAAGGAAATTTTCTAACCTAGGCTCTAAACATTAGGCGTGGATTTTTTAAGGAAATTTTCTAACCTAGGCTCTAAACATTAGGCGTGGATTTTTTAAGGAAATTTTCTAACCTAGGCTCTAAACATTAGGCGTGGATTTTTTAAGGAAATTTTCTAACCTAGGCTCTAAACATTAGGCGTGGATTTTTTAAGGAAATTTTCTAACCTAGGCTCTAAACATTAGGCATGGATTTTTTAAGGAAATTTTCTAACCTAGGCTCTAAACATTAGGCGTGGATTTTTTAAGGAAATTTTCTAACCTAGGCTCTAAACATTAGGCGTGGATTTTTTAAGGAAATTTTCTAACCTAGGCTCTAAACATTAGGCGTGGATTTTTTAAGGAAATTTTCTAACCTAGGCTCTAAACATTAGGCGTGGATTTTTTAAGGAAATTTTCTAACTTAGGCTCTGTTTCTTAGGCGTGGATTTTTTAAGGAAATTTTCTAACTTAGGCTCTGTTTCTTAGGCATGGATTTTTTAAGGAAATTTTCTAACCTAGGCTCTAAACATTAGGCGTGGATTTTTTAAGGAAATTTTCTAACCTAGGCTCTAAACATTAGGCGTGGATTTTTTAAGGAAATTTTCTAACCTAGGCTCTAAACATTAGGCGTGGATTTTTTAAGGAAATTTTCTAACCTAGGCTCTAAACATTAGGCGTGGATTTTTTAAGGAAATTTTCTAACCTAGGCTCTAAACATTAGGCGTGGATTTTTTAAGGAAATTTTCTAACCTAGGCTCTAAACATTAGGCGTGGATTTTTTAAGGAAATTTTCTAACCTAGGCTCTAAACATTAGGCGTGGATTTTTTAAGGAAATTTTCTAACCTAGGCTCTAAACATTAGGCGTGGATTTTTTAAGGAAATTTTCTAACCTAGGCTCTAAACATTAGGCGTGGATTTTTTAAGGAAATTTTCTAACCTAAGCTCTAAACATTAGGCGTGGATTTTTTAAGGAAATTTTCTAACCTAGGCTCTAAACATTAGGCGTGGATTTTTTAAGGAAATTTTCTAACCTAGGCTCTAAACATTAGGCGTGGATTTTTTAAGGAAATTTTCTAACCTAGGCTCTAAACATTAGGCGTGGATTTTTTAAGGAAATTTTCTAACCTAGGCTCTAAACATTAGGCGTGGATTTTTTAAGGAAATTTTCTAACCTTGGCTCTTAACATTAGGCGTGGATTTTTTAAGGAAATTTTCTAACCTAGGCTCTAAACATTAGGCGTGGATTTTTTAAGGAAATTTTCTAACCTAGGCTCTAAACATTAGGCGTGGATTTTTTAAGGAAATTTTCTAACCTAGGCTCTAAACATTAGGCGTGGATTTTTTAAGGAAATTTTCTAACCTAGGCTCTGTTTCTTAGGCGTGGATTTTTTAAGGAAATTTTCTAACCTAGGCTCTGTTTCTTAGGCGTGGATTTTTTAAGGAAATTTTCTAACCTAGCCTCTGTTTCTTAGGCGTGGATTTTTTAAGGAAATTTTCTAACCTAGCCTCTGTTTCTTAGGCGTGGATTTTTTAAGGAAATTTTCTAACCTAGCCTCTGTTTCTTAGGCGTGGATTTTTTAAGGAAATTTTCTAACCTAGCCTCTGTTTCTTAGGCGTGGATTTTTTAAGGAAATTTTATAACCTAGCCTCTGTTTCTTAGGCGTGGATTTTTTAAGGAAATTTTCTAACCTAGCCTCTGTTTCTTAGGCGTGGATTTTTTAAGGAAATTTTCTAACTTAAGCTCTGATTTTTTCACTCATTTTCTTAGAATATTTTTCAGTCTACTTGAGATTTTGGAAATTTTAAGATTCTCATCACTAATATTTTCCCCATTTTTTTTTTCGATATTTTCAGAAGCTGCATTATTGGTCCCGACTACAGCATAAAGGTCTGCACCATTGGTACTGTGATAAATCGTTCGGCCTACACCAAGGATTATTGTCAATTGGAGGGTTCAGGTGGTCGTCAAACCCAGCCGATGCCCATTCGATGGATGGCCTGGGAAAGTGTTCTTTTGGTAAGTTTTTGAAAAAAAAATATCCCGCAACGCTTTTTGTAAAGATCCTTCACTAACGCATTTACCATGTGAAGTGGCAAATGTGCCGTGCCTGGTCATTCACATAATCCTTTTCAACTATTTGAAATCGCCAAAAAATTTCTGTGAATTCATGCCGAGCTCGTCCTTATGTTGAGTGTTTTAACCGGTTATTATTTTTAACAATTTTTAGCATTGAAGAGATTTTATTTTGGCTTTTTCACTCGTTTAACGTTGCCATTCAAGGGTAGGTGGCCAAGCGATGTGGGCAAGGATATTTCGTTATGGCTTTTCTTTTGTTGTTATGGCTGCTAAAATCTCTGCCATTGCACAGTTTATGTTTTTTTTTTTTGCGTTTCACTACAGCTACACTACAAGTTTGAGAGTCCTTTGGCCTTAATCCTTTTGCCGCAATAGCAACCATAAATATTCATTTCTATACTAATTTTCCACTTGCTAGTCCAGTCGCCCATAAACTCCAGCAGAGTGCTGTGTGTGTGTTTTTTCACCATTCAGTAATGGCCCTGCTGGAGCTTTGCAAGGATTTCCTTCAATACACAGCCGAACAATTTGTACGAGAACTAAAAGATTTAGTTAACATGAAAATGAAACAATATTGGTAACTTGCCGGAGGAGCAGAGTGGGAGGGTAGTGGACACCCAGCGAATGGGATTATAAAAGACAATTTAAGAAGCGATAAAAACTATGTTTAAGGACTTGGAATATTAATTTTGCAAAAAGTTAGGTTATTTACATTGGAGACAATTTCGGGAGAACCTGAAATGGGAGAAATAATATATACTAAAAATCCAAGCCTTAAAAATCAGAGCCAAGGTTAGAAAATTTCCTTAAAAATCCAAGCCTTAAAAATCAGAGCCAAGGTTAGAAAATTTCCTTAAAAATCCAAGCCTTAAAAATCAGAGCCAAGGTTAGAAAATTTCCTTAAAAATCCAAGCCTTAAAAATCAGAGCCAAGGTTAGAAAATTTCCTTAAAAAATCCACGCCTAAGAAACAGAGGCTAGGTTAGAAAATTTCCTTAAAAAATCCACGCCTAAGAAACAGAGGCTAGGTTAGAAAATTTCCTTAAAAAAATCCACGCCTAAGAAACAGAGGCTAGGTTAGAAAATTTCCTTAAAAAATCCACGCCTAAGAAACAGAGGCTAGGTTAGAAAATTTCCTTAAAAAATCCACGCCTAAGAAACAGAGGCTAGGTTAGAAAATTTCCTTAAAAAATCCACGCCTAAGAAACAGAGGCTAGGTTAGAAAATTTCCTTAAAAAATCCACGCCTAAGAAACAGAGCCTAGGTTAGAAAATTTCCTTAAAAAATCCACGCCTAGTAAACAGAGCCTAGGTTAGAAAATTTCCTTAAAAATCCACGCCTAGTAAACAGAGCCTAGGTTAGAAAATTTCCTTAAAAAATCCACGCCTAAGAAACAGAGCCTAGGTTAGAAAATTTCCTTAAAAAATCCACGCCTAGTAAACGGATCCTAGGTTAGAAAATTTCCTTAAAAAATCCACGCCTAGTAAACAGAGCCTAGGTTAGAAAATTTCCTTAAAAAATCCACGCCTAGAAAACAGAGCCTAGCTTAGAAAATTTCCTTAAAAAATCCACGCCTAAGAAACAGAGCCTAGGTTATAAAATTTCCTTAAAAAATCCACGTCTAAGAAACAGAGGCTAGGTTAGAAAATTTCCTTTAAAAATCCACGCCTAAGAAACAGAGGCTAGGTTAGAAAATTTCCTTTAAAAATCCACGCCTAAGAAACAGAGGCTAGGTTAGAAAATTTCCTTAAAAAATCCACGCCTAGTAAACAGAGCCTAGGTTAGAAAATTTCCTTAAAAAATCCACGCCTAGAAAACAGAGCCTAGCTTAGAAAATTTCCTTAAAAAATCCACGCCTAAGAAACAGAGCCTAGGTTATAAAATTTCCTTAAAAAATCCACGTCTAAGAAACAGAGGCTAGGTTAGAAAATTTCCTTTAAAAATCCACGCCTAAGAAACAGAGCCTAGGTTAGAAAATTTCCTTTAAAAATCCACGCCTAATAAACAGAGCCTAGGTTAGAAAATTTCCTTTAAAAATCCACGCCTAATAAACAGAGCCTAGGTTAGAAAATTTCCTTAAAAAATCCACGCCTAGTAAACAGAGCCTACGTTAGAAAATTTCCTTAAAAAATCCACGCCTAGTAAACAGAGCCTAGGTTAGAAAATTTCTTTAAAAAATCCACGCCTAGTAAACAGAGCCTAGGTTAGAAACTTTCCTTAAAAAATCCACGACTAAGAAACAGAGCCTAGGTTAGAAAATTTCCTTAAAAAATCCACGCCTAAGAAACAGAGCCTAGGTTAGAAAATTTCCTTAAAAAATTCACGCCTAAGAAACAGAGCCTAGGTTAGAAAATTTCCGTAAAAAATCCACGCCTAATGTTCAGAGCCTAGGTTAGAAAATTTCCGTAAAAAATCCACGCCTAAGACACAGAGCCTAGGTTAGAAAATTTCCGTAAAAAATCCACGCCTAAGACACAGAGCCTAGGTTAGAAAATTTCCGTAAAAAATCCACGCCTAAGAAACAGAGCCTAGGTTAGAAAATTTCCGTAAAAAATCCACGCCTAAGACACAGAGCCTAGGTTAGAAAATTTCCTTAAAAAATCCACGCCTAAGAAACAGAGCCTAGGTTAGAAAATGTGCTTAAAAAATTCACGCCTAAGAAACAGAACCTAGGTTAGAAAATGTGCTTAAAAAATCCACGCCTAAGAAACAGAGCCTAGGTTAGAAAATTTCCTTAAAAAATCCACGCCTAAGAAACAGAGCCTAGGTTAGAAAATGTGCTTAAAAAATTCACGCCTAAGAAACAGAACCTAGGTTAGAAAATGTGCTTAAAAAATCCACGCCTAAGAAACAGAGCCTAGGTTAGAAAATGTGCTTAAAAAATCCACGCCTAAGAAACAGAGCCTAGGTTAGAAAATGTGCTTAAAAAATCCACGCCTAAGAAACAGAACCTAGGTTAGAAAATGTGCTTAAAAAATCCACGCCTAAGAAACAGAGCCTAGGTTAGAAAATGTGCTTAAAAAATCCACGCCTAAGAAACAGAGCCTAGGTTAGAAAATGTGCTTAAAAAATCCACGCCTAAGAAACAGAGCCTAGGTTAGAAAATGTGCTTAAAAAATCCACGCCTAAGAAAAAGAGCCTAGGTTAGAAAATTTCCTTAAAAAATCCACGCCTAATTTGAAGAGCCTAGGTTAGAAAATTTCCTTTAAAAAATCCACGCCTAATTTGAAGAGCCTAGGTTTGAAAATTTCCTTTAAAAATCCACACCTAATGTGGAGAGCCTAGGTTAGAAAATTTAATTAAAAAATCCACGCCTAAGAAAAAGAGCCAAAGTTAAAAAATTTCCTTAAAAAATCCACGCCTAATGTGGAGAGCCTAGTTCAGAAAATCTCCTTAAAAATCCACGCCCAAAAAGCAGAGCCTAGGTTAGGGTAGAACATGTCCTTAAAATCCACAAAATTTCCTGAATTTCAACCAACGAAATGCATTTAATTTAACCCGAGGAAATGATTGTATCCTTGAATTTGCACTCGATTTTTTTTGTTTTTGCCGAACAATAAAGAAAACACGCGAAATTATAAACTGGAAAAACCGCTCATAAATTAATGGTCATATAAAAAGGGAGTCTTAACCAAATGCACATTATAGCCATGAGGAATTTCCCCCAAAAAAATACAAAAGAAAATCTGAAAACAGAAGTAACAGCTACAGCAGCGAGACCATGGCAAAATAAATTAATTAACTACACCATGGCAAACATGCACGCACATGAAATGGAATCTTATGTAACAACAAACGTTACACGAAAGGATGGATGGTCGGTTGGTCGAGTTACACGAACCGAGGTGGAACATTGAAGGGTCTGGAAGCAATGTGTACCGAGAACAAGTTCAATGAAAAGTTTTTCCTATGATATGCTACTCGACAAGGTACAATACAGTGTTTGGACAATGCATTGGAGAGGTTGGTCCTTCAACAATTTTTTTCAAAAAAAACCTTTAAAAATATTTCTAAATAAAATCCATGTTTATTGATAGACCTTAAAAAAATATTTTTAAAAAATCCACATTTATTGATAGAGCTTTAAAAAATATTTTTAAAAAATCCACATTTATTGATAGACCTTTAAAAAATATTTTTAAAAAATCCACGTTTATTAATAGAGCTTGAAAAAATATTTTTAAAAAATCCAAGTTTATGGATAGTCCTTGAAAAAATATTTTTAAAAAATCCACGTTTATGGATAGTCCTTGAAAAAATTTTAAAAAATCCACGTTTATGGATAGTCCATGAAAAAATATTTTTAAAAAATCCACGTTTATGGATAGTCCTTAAAAAATATTTTTAAAAAATCCACGTTTATGGATAGTCCTTAAAAAATAATTTTAAAAAATCCACGTTTACTGATAGTCCTTGAAAAATATTTTTAAAAAATACACGTTTATTTTTAGTCCTTGAAAAATATTTTTAAAAAATACAGTTTATTTTTAGTCTTGAAAAATATTTATAAAAAATACACGTTTATTTTTAGTCCTTGAAAAATATTTTTAAAAAATCAACGTTTATTTTTAGTCCTTGAAAAATATTTTTAAAAAATCCACGTTTATGGATAGTCTTTGAAAAAATATTTTTAAAAAATCCACGTTTATGGATAGTCCTTGAAAAAATATTTTTAAAAAATCCACGTTTATGTATAGTCCTTGAAAAAATATTTTTAAAAAATCCACGTTTATGGATAGTCTTTGAAAAAATATTTTTAAAAAATCCACGTTTATGGATAGTTCTTTAAAAAATATTTTTAAAATATTAAACGTTTATGGATAGCCCTTGAACAAATATTTTTAAAATATTAAACGTTTATGGATAGTCCTTGAAAAAATAATTTTAAAAAATCCACGTTTATGGATAGCCCTTGAAAAAATATTTTTAAAATATTAAACC